CTTCCTCTTCCCTCCTCCTCCTCCTCCTTCTTCTTCTTCCTCCTTCTTTCTTCTTCTTTCTTCTTCTTCTTCCTCTTCTTCTTTCTTCTTCCTTCTTCCTTTTTTTGTGAGACAGAGTCTCCCTCTGTCACCCAGGCTGGAGTGCAGTGGTGCCATCTCAGCTCACTGCAGCCTCTGCCTCCTGGGTTCAAGCGATTCTCCTGCCTCGGCCTCTCAAGTAGCTGGGATTACAGGCATGTGCCACCATACTCTGCTAATTTTTGTATTTTTAATGGAGATGGGGTTTCACCATGTTGGGCAGGCTGGTCTGGAACCCCTGACCTCAAGTGATCCGCCCGCTTCGGCCTCCCAAAGTGCTGGAATTTCCAACCCCGCAGACACTTCTGATTCTCTCTCTTCACTGTTCCCTACCCTCCCCAGCTGTGGTGTCCCCAGCGAAGCCCTCCTGCGAAGGCGTGCAGTGCGCAGCTGGGCAGCGCTGCCAGGTGGCAGGCGGGAAAGCCCAGTGTGTGGCGGAGTCCACCGCTGTCTGTCGCGCCCAGGGCGACCCCCATTACACCACCTTCGACGGCCGTCGCTACGACATGATGGGCACCTGTTCGTACACGATGGCGGAGCTGTGCGGCGACGACGACACCCTGCCTGCCTTCAGCGTGGAGGCCAAGAACGAGCACCGGGGCAGCCGCCGCGTCTCCTACGTGGGCCTCGTCACTGTGCACGCCTACAGCCACTCCGTGTCGCTGACCCGCGGGGAAGTTGGCTTCGTCCTAGTGAGTACCCGGAGGCTTCTGGGGGTTAACATCCATGAGCTGCGGGTCCGAAAGCGGAGGCAAAGCCCAACTGGCCGACCTCAACCCAGGGTGCAGAGAAATGGGCCATGGGGTTGGAGGGTGGAGAGGGGGATTTGAAAATCAGTAGCAGGACGTTAGAACCCTGCCCTCCAGTCATCCCACATCTGGAAATTTTAAGGATATTCAGAGACAGGATTCGGGGGAAAAATAACGCCAACATGGTTTATAATAGCATAAAACAAAAGCAAACGAAGAAAAAATTCTGTCCTAGTTAGAAAGGAAATTAAATATCCAACAATGAGGGATTTATATTGACCAGATAACTAAATTTAATGAGCACCTGCTGTGGACCAGATATGTTTCTTAGCAATTTTCTCATCTTAATGCATTTAATGCTCACAAACTCTGTGCAGCAGGCGTTATTATTATGAGCATGTTCAGACTGGGAAACAGGTTGAGATAGGCTAGTGACTTCCCAAGGCCTCAGAGCTAGTAAGAATTGGAGCTAAGGGCACAGGCATGCAGGCTCTGGAGTCCCTGTTCTTAATCTCTCAGCTGTCCTGACTCTGGTAAATGCATTTCTACTCAGTTCATATGAATAACAGCAGCCTAGCGCAATTACTTCCTTTTTTCTCGCCATGTTATTATGAAAATGTTAAAATGTCCAAAGTTGAAATTCTTACACGGTGAATGCTCACATGCCAATCACCTAGATTTTTCTTTCTTTCTTCTTTAATTTTTTCTTTTTCTTTCTTTCTTTTTTTTCTTTTTTTTTGAGACAGAGTCTTGCTCTGTCACCCAGGATGGAGTGCAGTGTTAGGTTCAGGTTCAAGCGATTCTCCTGCCTCAGCCTCCCAAGTAGCTGGGATGACAGGCATGTGCCACCATGCCCAGCTAATTTTTGTATTTTTGTAGAGAAGGGTTTCACCATGTTGACCAGGCTGATCTGGAACTCCTGGTCTCAACTGATCCACCTGCCTCAGCCTCCCAAAGTGCTGGGATTACAGGTGCCAATCATCTAGATTCTAAACACTGTACTCTTCTTGATTGATCACACACTGATCCATCGGTTCCTCCCTGTGTCCATTCCACAATCTCTCTTATTTTTTATGCACTTCAAAGTTCCACACATCAGTACATATCACCCAAAAGACTTCACCATGTCATTAACTAGAATACAATATTTTCACACTTCTTTTGGCTGATTTTGGAGATGAAATTTATATATAATAAAAATCACAAATCTTAACTATATAGTTCACCTTTGGCAAATGTGTAACCAAATTGCCCATTAAGATATATAATATTTTCATCACCTGGGAAATTCTCTCATGTGCCTTACCAAACAGTCCCCAACCTATCCCTAGAGATGATCACAGTTCTGATTTTTTTTTTTTTTCCAGCATAGATTAGTTTTGCTGTTCAATAACTTCAGGGCTGGGCGCAGTGGCTCATGCCTATAATACCAGCACTTTGGGAGGCCTAGGCAGGTGGATCACTTGAGATCAGGAGTTAGAGACCAACCTTGCCAACATGGCAAAACTCTATCTCTAGTAAGAGTACAAAAATTAGCTGGGAGTGGTGGCACATGCCTGTAATTCCAGCTACTTGGGAAGCTGAGGCAGGAGAATCGCTTGAACCTAGGAGGCGGAGGTTGTAGTGAGCCAAGATTGCGCCACTGCACTCAAGCCTGGGTGACAGAGTGAGACTCTGTCTCAAAAAATATATACATAGAGAGAGAGAGAAAGAAAGAGAGTATATATTTTTGCGTATATTCACATATATACACACAAGTATACATACGTATACATATATATGTGTATATGTATGTTGTGTTCTCTACTTTGCTTTTTGCAGTTAGCAATACATTCTGGAACAGTTTCTCTATCAATGCAGAGGGAGCCTTTTTTGTGGGTTGATTTATTTTTTATTATCTTTTTATTTTTATTTATTTTTTTAAAATTATACTTTAAATTCTAGGGTACATGTGCGCAACGTGCAGGTTTGTTACATATGTATACATGTGCCATGTTGGTGTGCTTTTTTTAACATCTGCACAATTCTTTATATATATATGAACACCATAGTTCATTCAACCAGTCCCCTGTGGATGGACACATTGTTCACTATTACAAACAATACGGCAATGAATTTTTTTTTGATATATATATATCAAAAAAAAAAAAAAAGAAAGTAGGTGTTCTTCAGTCCTGGAAGCGTTGAACGCAAGTTCAAGTGGACTTCAGATCCCTTGAAATTATATACAGAATTTTGTACCTCTCTCTGAAAAACTACTTTATATTTTATTTTATTTTATTTTTGAGACAGAGTCTCGCTCTGTTGCCCAGGCTGGAGTGCAGTGGCATGATCTCGGCTCACTGCAACCTCCGCCTCCCGGGTTCAAGTGATTCTCCTGCCTCAGCCTCCCGAGTAGCTGGGACTACAGGCACATGCCACCAAGCCCGGCTAATTTTTTTGTATTTTTAGTAGAGCCGGGGTTTCATTGTGTTAGCCAGGATGGTCTTGATCTCCTGACCTTGTGATCCGCCCACCTCGGCCTCCCAAAGTGTTGGGATTACAGGCAGGAGCCACCGCACCCGGCCTTACTTTTTTCTTTGTCAGATCCTCACAGACGTCAGTGACTTGACAAAGCCGTCAGGTGTAGAGCTACTGTCAGAATCATAGTAGGATACTCACAAGACATTGTTAGGAGAGGGGTTAATGAAATAGTGACTTCAGCATGGTCCTTTTTTTTAAAGTGTAAATATATCTAAAGGTAGGAAAAAACTCAACAGGATCTGTACATTTGTATGTGTGTGCCTACAGGGTGATTTTCCTTTTCTCATTTTTGCTCATGTGCATTTTCTGTTTTCTGTAATGAACGAATATTATTTGTGTCATTTAAAAATGGGAGACCCTATCTCTACCAAAAAAAATAATAATAATAAATGGATGTAGTGGCGCCTGTCTGTGGTCCCAGCTACTTGGGAGGCTGAGGCAGAAAGATGGCTTGAGCCCAGGAGGTCGAGGCTGCAGTGAGCTGTGATGCTGCTACTACACTCCAGGCTGGGTGACAGAGCAAAACTGTCTAAAAAAATTACATAAATAAAAAAATAGAAAAATTAAAATGGAGATCACTGGACTTAGAGGAGAGACAGATTTGAGCAGCCATTCTAGACTGAGAGCTCCGAGCATGGGTCCATGGCTGTCTCCATCACTGCAGTGTCTAAAGCACCAGCTGGCACAGAGCGGGCCATGCAGTGGGACTCACAGAGGCTTTGCTGGGAACTGGAATGAGTGAATGCTCTGTCTTCCCTCTGGGCCATTGCTCATGCTGTCCTCTCTCCTGTGGCTCCTTTTTTCATATTCCATCCTCTTGGCTAAGACTTTCTCCACTTCAAGTCTCAGCTCTGGCACAGCTCAGAGAATGTGTAAGGAAAGAGTAAGAAAGTGATGCCCAGGCTGGGTGCGGTGGCTCACACCTATAATCCCAGCACTTTGGGAGGCTGAGGTGGGAGGATTGCTTGAGCCAGGAGCTCCAGACCAGCGTGGACAACATAGTGAGACCCCATCTCTAATTTAAATTTTTAAAAATTAATTAAAAAAATAAAAGGCTGGGCACAGTGGCTCATGCCTGTAATCACAGCACTTTGGAAGGCTGAGGGGTGGGGGATTGCGGGGGCAGATCACTTGAGGTGAGGAGTTCAAGACCAGTCTGGCCAACATGGTGAAACCCCATCTCTACTAAAAATACAAAATTTAGCTGGGCGTGGTGGCAGGCATCTGTAATCCCAGGTGGGGGAATCACTTGAACTTGGGAGGCAGAGGTTGCAGTGAGCCAAGATCATGCCACTGCAGCCCAGCCTTGGTGACAGAGCAAGATTCCATCTCAAAAAAAAAAGATGCCCGAGGGCACAGAGAGACATAGTTCTTATCTCCTGGTTCTTAGTCAGACTTCAGGCTTCTATAACACCAGAACCTGGGAGGCTTACAAACAACACAACCTTGTCTCTCACAGTTCTGGAGGCTGGAAGTCCAAGATGAGGTCACCAGCTCTGCCAGGTGAGGGTGAGGGTGCTCCTCCAGGTTGCAAATGGCCTGCTTCTCCCTGTATCCTCACACAGTGGAAAGAGGACCCGAGAGCTCTCTGAGGCCTCTGTCATAAGGGCACTAATCCCATTCGTGAGGGTGCCACCCTCATGACCTAATCACTTCCCAAAGGCCTCCCCCCACTCTTAATACCATCATGTTGGGTGTTAAGATTTCAACATGTGGGCTTTGCAGGAGACACAGATATTGAGTCCATAACACCAAGCCAGATGGACTGGCCAGGATCTCTGTCCACTCAGGACATTTGAATGGAAATATCCTACTCCCTCCTGGTTTTCCTGACTCTCTCTCTCTTACTGGTCCTTTAAGGCTCGGCACAACTATTCTTTCCTCTGGGAAGCTTTCCCTGACCAGCAAGGTTAAATCTGGCCATTTGTCTAGGTTTTCACAGCCTCCTATCTCCCCACTATCCCAGCTCTGAACCCTCAGCCTGTACCTCCCCTATCCCATCCCTGACCTGTCCCCTGGGCCTTTCTGATCCTGGCCTTGACTTTCCTGCCTGTGCTTCTCCCACCTCTGCCCTGACCCCTCTGAGCTCCCACTGTCTGGTGATGGGTCTCTTTCTCCCAGTGGACTGGGAGCCCCATAAGGGTAGGGCCTGGGGCTGTCTCTGTTACCTTGGTATTCCCAGGATCTCCCAGCCCAAGGCCAGGCACAGAGTGAGTTCCCAGTGAATGTTTATTAAATGCAGCAGTGACTTAATTCACTTAGTGAGTGCCTGTGATTCCACCAGGCCCTGTTCTATGCATTGGGGATAAAGCAGTGATCAAAGCAGACCCAAACCCCTGTCTTTGTGGAGCTGCCATTCTGATGGAGTGAGACAGATGATAAACATGGTCAATTTGTGAAGTATATTTTAGAAGGCCAGATGCTATAGAAAAAAAAAAAGGAAAGCAGGGAAGGAGGTTATGGAGTAGGGAGAGGCTGCCATTTTTTTTTTTTTTTTTTGACAGAGTCTCACTCTGTTTGGCATGATCTTGGCTCATTGCAGCCTCCACCTCCTGAGTTAAATCAATTCTCTTGCCTCAGCCACCTGAGTAGCTGGGATTACAGGCGTGCCCCACCACACCCAGCTAATTTTTGTACTTTTAGTAGAGACAGGGTTTCGCCATGTTGACCAGGCTGGTCTCGAACTCCTGACATCAAGTGATCCACCCACCTCAGCCTTCCAAAGTGCTGGGATTACAGACGTGAGTCACTGCACCTGGCCCAAGACTGCCATTTAAAATGGATTGTAGGCTGGGTCCCGTGGGTCATGCCTGTAATTCCAGCACTTTGGAAGGCTGAGGCAGGAGGATTGTTTGAGGCCAGGAGTTGACACCAGCCTGGGCAACATAGCAACATCTCATCTCTATAACTAACTAACTAACTAACTAACTAACTAACTAAATAAATAAATAAAATAAAATAAAATAAAATAATAAAATAGGGCAGTCAGGGAAGGCTTGAGTCAGTGACATTCGAGCAAATACATTTGAAATATATTCTCGAATTTAAAACTGTTAATTAAAAAGTAGACTTTAATGTTGAAAATGCAAACTTGGGGAGGGTAGAAAGACCACACACAAGGTTGTCACTTCACACTTGGAGGGTCACACAGCAGCCAGGCAGAGGCGCACCTCACTTCCTAGACGGTGGGCAGCTGGGCAGAGGCGCACCTCACTTCCCAGACGGTGGGGCGACCAGGAAAAGGCGCTCCTCACTTCCCGAGAGTGGGGCGGCCGGGCAGAGGCACTCCCCACTTCCCAGATGAGGGGGGAGTGGCGGGGGCCAGGCAGAGGCCCTCCTCACCTCCCAGATGGTGCAGTGACCGGGCAGAGGTGCTGCTTACTTCCCAGACAGTGCAGTGACCGGGCAGAGGCCCTCCTCACCTCCCAGATGGTTCAGTGACCGGGCAGAGGTGCTGCTTACTTCCCAGACAGTGCAGTGACTGGGCAGAGGGGCACCTCACTGAGCAAATATTTTATAGGAGGTACAGGAGTGAGTCACATGCACGGCTGCAGAAAGAACATTTCAGGCCACAGGTACTGCAAGAGGCAAGGTCTCTGATGGTGGCAGTAGCAGAAAGAATGAGTCCCAGTGCAGCCAGAGCAGGGGAGCAGGTGGGAGGCCCAGAGATGAGGGCTGGAGGCCAGATGGCACAGGGGCCTGACCACCGCCTCCTCACCCACTCTGCAGGTTGACAAACAGCGCTCGCGCCTGCCAGTCTCCCTGAGTGAGGGCCGCCTGCGTGTGTACCAGAGCGGACCACGGGCCGTGGTGGAGCTGGTCTTTGGGCTGGTGGTCACTTACGACTGGGACTGCCAGCTGGCACTCAGCCTGCCCGCGCGCTTCCAAGACCAGGTGTGCGGGCTGTGTGGCAATTATAATGGTGACCCAGCAGACGACTTCCTCCTACCTGAGGGGGATCTGGCTCCTGACGCCGTGGAGTTCGCAAGTAGCTGGAAGCTGGATGATGGGGACTACCTGTGTGAGGATGGCTGCCAGAACAACTGTCCCGCCTGCACCCCAGGCCAGGCCCAACACTATGAGGGCGACAGACTCTGTGGCATGCTGACCAAGCTTGATGGCCCCTTCGCTGTCTGCCATGGCACCCTGGACCCCAGGTCCTTCCTGGAGCAGTGTGTATATGACCTGTGTGTGGTCGGTGGGGAGCGGCTTAGTCTGTGCCGTGGCCTCAGCGCCTATGCCCAGGCCTGTCTGGAGCTTGGCATCTCAGTTGGGAACTGGAGACCTCTAGCCAACTGCCGTAAGTGATGCCCTGGGGAGAGCTGGGAGCATACAGTGAGGGGCAGGAGATCCCTAGCATCTGCTCAATATCTGAGAAGTTATTGTGGTTCAGCCTGGTGCTGGGCAATGCCAGGGGCCTAGTGATGGCCAAGATAGCCAGCCACAATGAGCCTAAGGTTGGAGGAGATGTTTCACTAGACATTCATGGTATGGAGGGGTCCAGGCAGGATGGGGAGGCCCACTCGGAGGGGTTGGGGCCAGGATGAGAGAGAGACAGGTGGATGAGTCAGGACTGGGATGGGGGGGACACAGGTAGAGGGGTCAGGGCCGGGATGGAGGAAGTCAGTGGGGGCGATGGGAAACCAGAGGAGGTTCCCGGCCCAACCTGGGGAGCAGGGGTGGTCAGGGAGGGTTTTCTAGAGAAAGGGATGTCCAATTTGAAACCCATAAGAAAGTTGCCAAGAGAAAGAGGAGGAAGTGGGCCGGGCGCGGTGGCTCAAGCCTGTAATCCCAGCACTTTGGGAGGCCGAGATGGGCGGATCACGAGGTCAGGAGATCGAGACCATCCTGGTTAACACGGTGAAACCCAGTCTCTACTAAAAAATACAAAAAACTAGCCGGGCGAGGTGGCGGGCGCCTGTAGTCCCAGCTACTTGGGAGGCTAAGGCAGGAGAATGGCGTAAACCCAGGAGGCAGAGCTTGCAGTGAGCTGAGATCGCGCCACTGTACTCCAGCCTGGGCAACAGAGCGAGACTCCGTCTCAAAAAAATAAAAATAACAAAATAAAAGAAAGAGGAGGAAGTGAGCTGCAGGCCCAGAGAACAGCATGCTCAAAGGCTTGGCAGGACAGGAATTCGTGTCTGCAGAATCCCAACACAGACATGTGATGTTTCTTCCTTTGCCTATAGTCCTCCCATGACTCCCATTGCCCTCTAGATGAGGCTCAAGCTCTTTAGCCGGGTGTCCATCTGCTTTATCATTCACTCATTCATTCATTCCACAAGCATTCCTTGAACCCCTGCCTGCCCTGCTGTGTGTGCTGATGATATCGAAGGCACAGTGAGGACCAGCATAGATCTGTTCCTGCCCTTGTGAGTGAGGCTCCCAGAGACATGTCCCAGAGGCAGAAAGGACAGGTGGGAGGGAGGAAGAGGCATCCAGGCCCAGGCCCAGAGGGAGGGGAGTAAGTACAGGGGAGACATAGAGGCCACGAGGTGTTTGTCTTGGCTAGTGCTGTCTGTGTCCCCACTGCCCAGTAAGCACTGCCAGCCACCCAACTCCATGCCTGGTGCAAAATGGGAACCAGAGAGTTCATTTATTCTCCTATTCATTTCTGCAGTATTTCCTGAGCACCTGCTGTGCACCAGGCCCTGTCCTTGGTGCTGGGGACTCAGCAGTGATTGAGACAGATCAGGTCCCCACTCCTGTAGAACTTATCTCTTAGAGGGAGGGGAGGGACACAGACAGTGAGCAGATAAACTAGGAAGTATCTTCAGAGAACCAAAGAAACAAGTTCATGCAATGACAGTGACTGTGAGGCTGGTGAAGAGGGTGACCAGGGAAGGCGTTTCTGGACAGGTAACATTGGAGCTGAGACCATGGTCAGGCAATGGAGTCAGCTAAGTCCTAATAGTGATGTCCACAGAACGTTTCCCCATAGATCAACTCATTTAATCCCCACAACAACCATGTGAGGTCTGGACTACATTATCCCATCTTACTGACGGGGAAACTGAGGCACGGGGAGATTGGAGTCAGTGGCTGAGAAGGAGAGATCTGGGATTTGAACCCAGGCCACCTGGGCCCCAGTGGCTTTCTGTGGAAAGGGAAGGCAGAGGGCACAGGCAGTGCAAAGGCCCTGAGGTGGAAGCGTGAGGACCCGGGAGGAGAAGGCAGCTGGGGCTGGGGCAGAGTGAGCCCGAGGGAAAGGGAGAGGAGCAGATGGCACAGGTCCTCCTGGGGCATGGGAAGGACTCTGGCGTTTACCCTGAGTGAGAGGAAGCCACGGGAGTGCTCTGAGACAAGGAGGGACCTGATCTGACCCAGACGTTCCCAGATCCCTCTGGCTGGTGTGAGGAACAGGCTGGCGGGGCAGGAGGGAGCCCAGGCAGGAGGCTGCTGCGGTGGATAGGACCAGAGGCAGATTCTGTAACTGGGTGGAATTTTTTTTTTTTTTTTTTTTTTTTTTAAATTTTTTTTTTTTTTTTTTTTTTTTTTTTTTTTTTTTTTTTTTTTTTTTTTTTTTTTTTTTTTTTTTTTTTTTTTTTTTTTTTTTCCTGGTACAAGCGATTATCCTGCCTCAGCCTCTCGAGTAGCTCGGATTACAGGCGTGCGCCACCACTCCTGGCCAGTCTGGGTAGATTTTGAATATGGAGCTCACAGGACTTGCTGACAGATTGGTTGTCCAGTAAGCGTTAGGGGGTTGGCGGGGTGGAGATTAACTGCATCGCTAGGGTGTGGCGCAGGAGCACTCAGAAGGATGGCAGTGCCATTATCTGAGATGGCGAGCTCTGAGAGAAGAGAAGGGTTTGGGGAGGGAATTCCTGGGCGCTGTCCCCGACAGGGCGCCCTTCCACGGCCCCTGCTGCGCGGGCCTGATCCACCCTCTCTGATCTCCCCACAGCCCTGTCCTGCCCAGCCAACAGCCGCTATGAGCTCTGCGGCCCTGCCTGCCCGGCCTCCTGCAACGAGGCTGCGGCGCCCTCCAACTGCTCTGGGCGCCCCTGCGTAGAGGGCTGCGTGTGCCTCCCGGGCTTCGTGGCCAGCGGCGGCGCCTGCGTGCCGGCCTCGTCGTGTGGCTGCACCTTCCAGGGTCTCCAGCTCGCTCCAGGCCAGGAGGTGTGGGCGGACAAGTCGTGCCGAAGGCGCTGCACCTGCAACGGCGCCACCCATCAGGTGACCTGCCGCGACACACAGGGCTGCCCGGCGGGTGAGATCTGCAGCGACCAGAACGGCCTCCTGGGCTGCTACCCCAATCGCTTCGGGACCTGTCAGGGGTCCGGGGACCCACACTATGTGAGCTTCGACGGCCGGCGCTTCGACTTCATGGGCACCTGCACGTACCTGCTGGTCGGCTCATGCGGCCAGAACGCAGCACTGCCCGCCTTCCGGGTGCTGGTGGAAAATGAGCATCGGGGGAGCCAGACTGTGAGCTACACGCGCGCCGTGCGGGTGGAGGCCCGCGGGGTGAAGGTGGTGGTGCGCCGGGAGTACCCCGGGCAAGTGCTGGTGAGCGACGCAGCGCCCAGGGCTGGGTGGCCGGGCAGGAAATACCCTCTGAAGACTTGGAGCTCTGGGTGGGTCTGGGGGTGGGGGAGGCCCGTTAGAAGATCTTATTTTTTTTCATTTTCCTTTTTCCTTTTTGTGGAGAATGGAGTCTCACTAAGTTGCCCAGGCTGGTCTCCAACTCCTGGGCTCGAGTGACACTCCCTGCCTCAGCTTCCCGAAGTGCTAGGAAGTGAGCAATGATCGCGCCATTGCACTCTGGCCTGGGTGACAGAGTGAGACCCCTGTCTCTATTTTTAAAAGGAAGCTAGTGACCGGGCACGGTGGCTCACGCCTGTAATCCCAGCACTTTGGGAGGCCAAGGAGGGTGGATCATCTGAGGTTTGAGACCAGCCTGACCAACATGGTGAAACCCTCTCTCTACTAAAAATACAAAAAAAAGAAAAAAAAATTAGCCAGGCGCAGTGGTTCACACCTGTAATCCCAGCTACTAGGGAGACTGAGGGAGAATCACTTGAACCCAGGAGGCAGAGGTTGCAGTGAGCCAAGACTGCACCACTGCACTCCAGCCTGGGCAACAGAGTGAGACCCTGTCAAAAAAAAAAAAAAAAAAAGGAAGCTAGTATGGTCGCAGCAGCCTGAGTGAGAGGGACAGTGAGAAGAGGTGAGGTAAGGGAGGTAATGGGGAGATAGACAGATCATGTAGGTTTCGAAGGCCATGGGTGAGGGATTTAAATTTAAGCTGGTGCTTTAGGAATGAAGAGGGGTGAATGGTGAGCCAGGCAGAGGGAACAGCAAGTGCAAAGGCCTTGAGGTGGGACTGAGCATAGTATGTCCAAGAGAATAGCAAGGAGGTCAGCGTAGCTGGAGGTGAGTGAGTTGAAGCTTGGGCCACAGAGCCGTGAATACCCTGACCAGGCCCTCTTGCATCTCCACCCAGGTGGATGACGTCCTTCAGTACCTGCCCTTCCAAGCAGCAGATGGGCAGGTGCAGGTGTTCCGCCAGGGCAGGGACGCCGTCGTGCGCACGGACTTTGGTCTGACTGTCACCTACAACTGGGATGCACGAGTGACTGCCAAGGTGCCCAGTAGCTATGCTGAGGCCCTGTGTGGACTCTGTGGGAACTTCAATGGGGACCCAGCTGATGACCTGGCTCTGCGGGGTGGGGGTCAAGCTGCCAATGCACTGGCTTTTGGGAACAGCTGGCAAGAAGAGACGAGGTCTGGCTGTGGAGCAACTGAACCTGGTGATTGTCCCAAGCTGGACTCCCTGGTGGCCCAGCAGCTGCAGAGCAAGAATGAGTGTGGAATCCTTGCGGACCCCCAGGGGCCCTTCCGAGAGTGCCACAGCAAGCTGGACCCTCAGGGTGCCGTGCGTGACTGTGTGTATGACCGCTGCCTGCTGCCAGGCCAGTCTGGGCCACTATGTGACGCATTGGCCACCTATGCTGCTGCATGCCAGGCTGCTGGAGCCACAGTGCACCCCTGGAGGAGTGAAAAACTTTGCCGTGAGTACCGGAAGTGGCAACTGGGGGACTCAGCCTTATATATATAGTCATTAATGTATAAATATCATTAATTCTTTTAATCCTTATAATAGCCCAATGAGGTGGGGATTGTGGTTATACCCATTTAACAGATGAAGAAATTGAGGTTCAGAAAGGTTCAGTTACACACCTGGGATCATGATAGCTAGAAAGTCACAGATGGTGGTCATGCAATTGGTATTAGTTTTTTTTTTTTTTTTAGACGGAGTCTCGCTGTGTCACCAGGCTGGAGTGCAGTGGCGTGATCTCGGCTCACTGCAACCTCTGACTCCCTGGTTTAAGCTATTTTCCTGCCTCAGCCTCCAGAGTAGCTGGGATTACAGGCACGCGCCACCACACCCAGCTAATTTTTGTATATTTAGTAGGGATGGGGTTTCACCATGTTGGCCAGGATGGTCTCGATCTCCTGACCTCGTGATCCACCCACCTCAGCCTCCCAAAGTGCTGGGATTACAGGTGTGAGCCACTGTGCCCGGTGGCAGTTGGTATTTGTAAAATGACTGAGTACACCTGGTGGCCCGGGGTCTGATTCCCACATAACAGCTGTCATTGAGATATGAGCAACAGTGTTGTCATTAGGAGTCTCATCCCCCGTCTGGTTCTTTTTGGTCCCCATTTATCCTACCTCACTTATTTACATCTGCCTGACCCCTTGGACAGTCAGTTTGAGAGCCTTGTTTCACAGGTGGGTGCATGAATGATTTTCCAGTGCCTTTGCTTGCCTATGAAAGAAGTTTGAAAAACCATGTATCCTCTCACCTGATTTTTTTTTTTTTTTAAGATGGGGTCTTGCTCTGTTGCCTAGGCTGGAGTGCAGTGGTGCAATCATAGCTTACTGCAGCCTGGAACTCCTGGGCTCAAGTGATTCTCCTGCCTCAGCCTCCTGAGTAGCTGAAATGGCAGGCATGTACCACCCCAGCTAATTTTTAAAATTTTTTTATAGAGGCAAGGTTTTGATTTTTTGCCCAGGCTGATCTCGAGCTCTTGGGCTCAAGCAATCCTCCTGCCTCGACCTCTCAAAATACTGGGATTACAGGTGTGAGCCATCGTACCAGTTTCCTCTCACCTGATTTTTAATTTCTAAAATTCATTATTGAAATATAATACAAATATTTAAAAATACGTACATATCATAAGCTAACAGCTTGATCAGTTTTCACCAAGATAACAAAGCTGTTTGAACAGTCCCAAATTCAAGAAAAAAAACATCCAGGTTCCCAACCCCAAGAGGTAACCACTATTCTGACTTCTAAAGTTTTTGAATTTTGGAATTAATGGAAGCATACATGTCTAGTTTTTCACCTGAAATAATTATAAAATGTATAATTTCCAACAAATGGTAACTTTTGACTTTTAAGAACTTTTTTTTTTGAGATGGAGCCTCACTCTGTCATTCAGGCTGGAGTGCAGTGGTGCGAACTCAGCTCACTGCAACCTCCTCCTCCTGGGTTCAAGCAATTCTCCTGCCTCAGCCTCTCAAGCAGCTGGGACTACAGATGCCTGCCACCACGCTTGGCTAATTTTTTTGTATTTTTAGTAGAGACGGGGTTTCACCATGTTGGCCAGGCTGGTTTTGAACTCCTGACCTCAAATGATCCGCCCAACTCGGTCTCCCAAAGTGCTAGAATTACAGGCGTGAGCCACTGCGCCCAGCCTTAAGAACATTTTTATTAGGGAAAAATTTAAACATACCCAAAGTAAACTAGGATAGTGAGCCCGAATATATCCATCATTTAGTTTCCACAATTATCAACATAATACTGATATTTCAAAATGAAACTATTACTTGACTTATCCTCCTCTTTTAAATGTATTCACCAGATACATAGTCCTCATACATTACATAGTCCTCATAGTTATACATTACAGGCATGAGTCACCACGCCTGGCCAAGTATTTATCCTTTCTCATGATTCTGGGGGCTGCTGAGCTGTTCTCCCAGCCTGGGCCAGCTTGGTTGATCTCTGCAGGCTGTTAGAGGCTCAGCCGAGGCTGGGTAATCGAGGATGATTTTACACATTGGCAGTTGTCAAGCTGGTTGGTTTGGAGGACCCTCAGCTGGGACTTCTTGTCTCTGCTCTACTTGGTCTCATCTTCCAGCAGGTGAGCCCAGGCTTCTTCCCAAGGTGCCCTCAAGATTCCTAAAGCAACAAGAGCACACAAGCCCCAGTGTGCAAGCACTTTCCAAGGCTCTACTTGGTATCATGGTTGCCAATGTCCCATTGGCCAAAGCAAGCACCATGGTCATGCCCAGAGTCAAGACGTGACCCTTGGAAGCCTGTGTCACGATCCCCATCACACTTCTCTGCCACAAGCATACACATATATGACTAAGATTTCAGAATGTTTATAATCCTAGCTACTCAGGATGCTGAGGTGGGAGGATGCCTAGAGGCCTGGAGTTAGAGACCAGCCTGGGCAGCATAGCAAGAGCCTGTTTCTGAAAAACAGTGCAAGCTGGGTGCTGTGGCTCACACCTGTAATCCCAGCACTCTGGGAGGCTGAGGTGGCTGGATCATCTGAGGCCAGGAGTTTGAGACCAGGCTGGCCAACATGGTGAAACCCCATCTCTACTAAAAATACTAAAAATTAGCAGGGTGTGGTGGTGGTTGCCTGTAATCCTAGCTACTCGGGAGGCTCAGGCAGAAGAATCGCTTGAACCAGGGAGGCAGAGGTTGTAGAGAGCCGAGATCACGCCACTGCACTCCAGCCTGGGCAACAGAGCAAGACTCTGTCTCAAAAAATTAAATTAAATTAAATTAAATTAATAAAATAAAATAAAATAAGCAGTGCAGTCTCCACCCATCCCAAATCTTAACATGTGGTGTGTTGCCCTGGGATGTGAAAACTCCCGGGACAAAACAGCCTTCTTATAAAAGATATAAGAAGTTTTAGAAATTCCTGAGACTGTAAGACTCTAAGTGGTTTTTTTAATGGAGTAAGATATCATTGCAAGTATTGTTTGTGCACAATTGATAAAAATATTAAACAGAAGTAAATTGTAATGGCCATTTTAATGACATCATTCAGTGAGATGGATGGAGCTTCCCCCCACCCAGTATTTCACATATATTGTTAGAATGAGACAGGGTTCAGCATCAATTCTAATCCTACCTTTTATTTTTGTATATATGATATTTATTTATTTTTGAGATAAGATATTATCCTGTCACAGAGGCTGGAGTCCAGTGGCATGATCGCAGCTCACTGTAGCCTCAATCTTTGGGCTCGAGTGGTCCTCCTGTGTCAGCCTCCTGAGTAGCTGGGACTACAGGTGCACACTACCATGCCTGGCTATTTTTTTATTTTTTGTAGACACAAGATCTCGCTATGTTGTCTAGGCTGGTCTCAAACTCCTGGGCTCAAGTCATCCTCCCGCCTTGGCCTCCCAAAGTGCTGAGATTACAGACTTGAGCCACAGCTCCTGGCTTACATGATATTGATAAGTGGGTGGGAGTGGACGGAGTGCAGGTAGAGTAACATCACTCCATGCTCTGAACCCCTCCTGAGTCATAGGGAAGGCACACAGTGAGACACCACAAAATTTACTTTTTATTATCTGTGAGTCGCCAATTCTATTAGGCCCTCCTTTTGACTTATTACTCAATAGTGAGTGAGCATTCGTTGTGTTCACAGTGATAGCAATATTTGAAATTGTCTGTTTATGTCCTCAGAGGTTTCACACCCCAGGGCAGTGTGCCATGTGTTAAGATTCAGGATGGGGCCGGGCGCCGTGGCTCACACCAGTAATCCCAGCACTTTGGGAGGCCGAGGCGGGTGGATCACTTGGGGTGAGGAGTTCAAGACCAGCCTGGCCAATATGGCAAAACCCTGTCTCTACAAAAAATATAAAAATTAGCTAGGCATGGTGGTGAGCGCCTGTAATCCCAGCTACTCGGGAGGTTGAGGCAGGACAATCTTTGCTTAAAACTGGGAGGCAGAGATTGCAGTGAGCCGAGATCGCACCACTACACTCCAGCCTGGCCCATAGATCGAGACTCTGTCTCAAAAAAAAAAAAAAAAAAGATTCAGGATGGGTTGGGGACTACACTGTTCTCTTCTGTAAAGTGGAGAAAGCACGCTTGTGAAGGGGACAGGGGGACAATGGGAAGCGGGAATGCTCCTCTAACAGAGCATTCTTGGGCTGTCCTTTTAGGGAGGACACGTATAATTCCAGCTGGCAGTTGTGTGACACGCATCCCACTGGGCAGGTCCTGTTCTAAGGGTTTCTCGTTGAATCCTCACAACCACCCCGTGAGGTGGAATTGCTCTTATTCCTACTTTACAAGATGAAGAAAGAGAACCACAGAGATGTTAAGGAACTAGCCTGAGGTCACACAGCTGGTGGGGTGATTTGAACAGGCTGGCTCCTGATTTTGTGCTGTTAATTATTAGACTCTGTGGCCTCTGTGAAAATTGAGAATCTCTTGTTTCCTCAAAATTCCTCTTGTCCTTCTACCCCTTGGAAGTTCTAGAAGACTGGATCATGAGGGCTTAGACATGCAGATGGAGGCCTGACCCAGCTTGAACAATTATTGCTATTTTGCCATTCTTAGTTCCTCTACATCTCACTCCACCCCCTCTTTTTTTTTTTTTTTTTTTATAGAATATTTTAGATCAAATTCTAGGCAGATGAGTTCTCCTCTAACTACTTCAGTAAGCATCTGTATTCAGCAACAAAAATGGACTTTTAAGGAACAGGACTTCCCTTTTCATGCCTGTAATCCCAGCACTTTGGGAGGCCTAGGTGGAAGGATCGCTGGAGGCCAGGAGTTCAAGACCAGCCTGGGCAACATAACAAAACCCTGTCTCTACAAAAATAAAAATAAAGAATAAGCCGGGCGTGGTGACTAGTGCCTATCATTTCAGCTACTCAGGAGGCTAAGGTGGGAGAATATCTTCAGCCCAGGAGGTGGAGGCGGCAGTGAGCCGAGACTGTGCCACTGCACTCCAGTGAGACCCTGTCTCTAAAAAAAAAAAAAGGAAGGAAGGAAGAAAGAGATATGAGGGCATGTGGTAATTAATTACCAGTAACAAAAATAATATCAATTCCCTAACATCATGTAAAGCCCAATCTGGGTTCAAATTTTCCCAATTGTCTAAAAAAAAAAAAAAAGGTTTTTTCTATTTTGTTTGGCTCTAGAACCAAACCAAATACACATACTGCATTGGATTGATCTACCTTGTTGCTTTTACTCTGTCAGAATTTCCTTCCTTTGTTCCTCCCAACATAGTATTATGAAAATTGTCAAATATACAAAAAAGTTGAAAGAATTTTACAGTGAAGACCCATAAACCTGCCACCTGGACTCTACACTCTAATTCTGTTTCTTTTCTTTTTCTTTCTTTTTTTTTTTTTGAGACGGAGTCTCGCTCTGTCGCCCAATCTGGAGTGCAGTGGCACGATCTCGGCTCACTGCAACCTCCGCCTCCCGGGTTCAAGCGATTCTCGCACCTCAGCCTCCCACGTAGCTGGGATTACAGATGTGCGCCACCATGCCCAGCTAATTTTTGTATTTTTGGTAGAAATGGGTTTTACCATGTTGGCTAGGCTGGTTTCAAACTCCTGACCTCAAGTGATCCTCCCGCCTCGGCTTCCCAAAGTGCCGTGATTACACGTGTGAGCTACCATGCCCGGCCTCTACACTCTAATTCTAATTCACTCACTTACCTTATCACGTATCTATCCCTCCATCCAGCTCTTCCTTTTGTTTATGTCACTTCATTATTGGGAAAGATAGGTCATTTATCCTGCAGAATTTTCTATTTTCAGGATCTGGCTAGTTGCTATTTTGGAGTGTTATTGAACTTGTCCCTATGTCCCCATGATTCTCCTGTAAGCTGGATGTTAGCTTCAGAACAGCACCACCCAGCAGAACTTCAATGATGACAGCTCCATATTTGAGCTGTTCAAATACATACCAGGTTGCCACAGGTCACATGTGGCTGCTGAGCGCTTGCAGTGAGGATGTTGTGACTGAAGGGCTAAAGCTTCAATTTTGTTACATTTTAATTAATTTACATCTAAATGGTCCCAAGTGGCTAGTGGCTACTGTATTAGACAGCACAGATAGAGATTTAATGTGGTTTAGTTTTAGCCACTTAGATTTGCTTTTTATAGACTGGAGTGACTGGAGTGACTGGAGTTTGGGGAGGGGAGAAGGGAGGTTTTTTTTTATAACACTGGCTAAATAATTTAATTACTGCTATAGAAGGAAGAAGCTAAAAGTATGGCATTCACAAATACACTGCATAGATTATACACATACACACACACACAAATATATGCATATGCATGTTTAAAATATATACCACATATCAACACCATGTATCCAACTTGAATAAGGTCATTAAAGACATAATAGAAGGCCGGGTGTGGTGGCTTATTCCTGTAATCCCAGCACTTCGGGAGGCTGACGCAGCGGTACTGCTTGAGCCCAGCAGTTTGAGGCCGGCCTAGGCAACATAGCGAGACCCCATCTCTACACAAATTTAAAAAGTTAGCCAGGCATGGTGGTGCACGTCTATAGTTCCGGCTACTCAGGAGGCCGAAGTGGGAGGATTGCTTGAGCCCAGGAGGTCAAAGCTGCAGTGAGCTGTGATAGCAAGCACCACCGAGCTCCATCCAGCCTGAGTAACAGAGTGACCCATTTCTCAAAAAAAAAAACAACAAGAAAAAAACCATAATAGACAACTCCAAACTACAGTTAAATTGGGAAAGAATCTTAATTATCAGGATCAGATTAACTGCGATGTAATGTGTTCCCCAAGCTCCCTGCAATGGGACCGCTTGTGTGTGAGTGTCTTTGAGCATCTGTGTGTGCATACGAATGTGTTGGGGGACCGCTTGTGTGTGAGTGTGTTTGAGTGTGTGTGTGCATATGAATGTATTAGGGGCTGGGGGGTATCGAGTCCTGCTCCCTGGGAGCAGGAATTCTTGATCTTGACGTCTCCTCTCCCTGCAGCACTGAGCTGTCCACCCAACAGCCACTATGAGGCGTGTTCCTACGGCTGCCCGCTGTCCTGTGGAGACCTCCCAGTGCGCGGAGGCTGTGGCTCCGAATGCCATGAGGGCTGCGTGTGCGATGAGGGCTTTGCGCTCAGTGGTGAGTCCTGCCTGCCTCTGGCCTCCTGTGGCTGCGTACACCAGGGCACCTACCACCCACCAGGCCAGACCTTCTACCCTGGCCCCGGGTGTGATTCCCTTTGCCACTGCCAGGAGGGCGGCCTAGTATCCTGTGAGCCCTCCAGCTGCGGCCCGCACGAGGCCTGCCGGCCATCCGGTGGCAGCTTGGGCTGTGTGGCCGTGGGCTCTGCCACCTGCCAGGCGTCGGGAGACCCCCACTACACCACCTTCGATGGCCGCCGCTTCGACTTCATGGGCACCTGCGTGTATGTGCTGGCTCAGACCTGCGGCACCCGGCCTGGCCTGCATCAGTTTGCCGTCCTGCAGGAGAACGTGGCCTGGGGTAATGGGCGAGTCAGTGTGACCAGGGTGATCACGGTCCAGGTGGGAAACTTCACCCTGCGGCTGGAGCAGAGACAGCGGAAGGTCACGGTGAGAGCAGATGAGGAGCAGGGGGCGAGGGGCCTGTGGGTGGGTGGGGCACAGGCAGTGCTCAGCCCAGGAGTTGGGGGCACAGAGATGAGAGTGCATGTGGGAGGCCTGGGGTCCCTGAGGACAGAAGCTGCCAATCAGAACCCAGAGTGGGAAGCCAATGAGGGAGGTGTCCTCAGGGACTTGGGAGCTGCTCCCCCTACTCTGTCCCTCAGTCTCCACCCTCTCTTCACCTCCATGCATTGACTTTTCTCTCCAAATCTCTCCCACCCTCTCCTCCCTGCCACCCCATCCTCTCCCCACCTCAATCCTGGATTCTGTCCTACTCACCTCCCTGTTCTGCCACTCATTGGCAGGACGTGGTGCCATCAGAGG